TGGAAGTATATGGAGATGGAATTTGGAGAGTGTTTTGAGTTGATTAGGAGTCAAATTCTACTTTGTTTTAAGGAAAAAGAACCTGATAATCTTGATTTCTTGTTTTTAATGGATTGCTAATATTTTATTATTGAGGTAGTGGGGGATGATTTTGAGCAGGAGTATTTCGACAATAGTTTGCTAACTCTATATTTCTACAATGCCTTGGAGAAGTGCCTGCAGCGCCCGCCTGGGTTCGTTGTGAACCCAGGATGAACCCACCTAGCTCGCGCCTGGGTTCTCGATGTAGACGGGAACCCAGGCCCACCTGGGTTCGTCGTGAACTCAAGACGAACCCACCCAGGTCGCGCTGGGTTCGTCAGGAACCCAGGCACGAGCTGGGTTGGTCCTGGGTTCGAGAAGAACCCAGTGCGCACCTGGGTTCATCAAGAACCCATGATGAATCCACCCAAGCATGGGTTCTTCACGAACCCATGAACAATGAATCCAGGTCACACCTAGGTTCGCGACCTGGATTAGAGCTGGGTTCGCTTGGAGGTAAAAGAAAAAAAAAAAGCCCAGAGGAAGGAGAGGATGAGGAAGAAGATGGGGGTAAATTAGTAATTTTCTCTTTTTTTGTGTTGGCAGAGTGACATGGAGTGAGACATGGAGGGTATCATTAAATCCACGTAAGCATTTTTTACACGTTAGCATACCCACGTCAGCTGTTCTAGTTAAGTTAACGTGCCACGTGAGCAAAAATTAACGAAAAGACTAAAAAGAGGTTGGATTTGTAAACAGTAAAGATCAAAAAGGAGATTTTTTCAATACAAGAATAAAAAGGGGTTTTTTTCTATAGTAGAGGGACCAAAAAAGGTATTTAACAAAAAAAAAAGGAGTAACATGACATGTAATTAACAAGGTCATAAACCTAATTCTATAATTAATTCTACCAAAAAGCATGGCAAAATTCAACTGTTCTTCCTTCTTAAGTATTTTTATTTTGGTTTTAAGGAAATATGTTTTTAAAAGCTTTTGTTTTTCTAAAATATATATAATTATCCGCATTATACCATCCTAACTTCTATTTTCTGCGATAGTTTAAACGTTTTGAAAACACATAAATAAACTAAAAATTATAAATAAAAACTCTAAGTATTAACTCCTACCCTGATTTATGTTTTTTAATTATTCAATTTAAATAGTCATTAATGACTAATATAGATGATGCAAATATATTGTAAAGCTTTTTTTTTTTAACAATAATACTATAGTTATAATATTACATAAAATTATAATTTAATAATTTTATATAATATGAAATGAATATAACATGATATTAAATAAATGTATATATATAATATCACGTATAGATTTTTAAATGAAAAATTAATTATATAATAATACATTATATTATAAATTTAAAATATTACGTAATATTATAATTATAGTAATTTAGTTTTTATTATTTGTCATTGATTTCATGTAACCAAGAGCTTATGGTGACAT